CCCCAAAACCCCAAAACCCCAAAACCCCAAAACCCCTTTAATCCATATACTTGAAATAATCAGTAAAAATATAAATTTTTAAAAATGGAAAAATCTTAGAAAGTATTGAATTCGATTACCAGTTTATAATCATATATAATCTATAGAGTTTGAAGAGAAGAAAAATTGAAGTAGAAGAGGAAAAGGATGAAGATCAAGTATAGATTAAAGTTTAGAGGATGAAAGGAAATACAAAAAAGATTTAAGAAAAAATAAAGTAAAGTAAAAGCAAAAAAATGGAAAGAGTAAGTTAAATATTTTAACTAATAATTATAGGATTTTTACAGGTGTGATAAGATAGTAGGGTAGGGAGCTTTTGGAGTGGTTTTCAAGGTAATAGTTACTATTTATTTAATATTGAAAAGGCAATATGTTTGGACACTGATGAAACTGTTGCAATCAAAAAAGTATTGCAAGATAAAAAGTATAAAAACAGGGAGCTTTTAATCTTGAAAGAAATAGTTCATCCAAACATTATCAATATGAAACATCATTTCTTTTCTAAATCTGACAATGATGTAAAAATTTTCAATATTATGTCATTACTCACTCTAGGAAACATAGGAGTATTTAAATATTGTTACAGACTTTTATGAGGACACATTATCAAGAATTATAAATTACTTTGCAAGATAAAAAAAGCTAACTCCTTTTCTGCTTACAAAACTGTATGTTTTCTAACTATTCAGAGCTTTGGCATACTTACACCATAATCACATCGCTCATAGAGATATAAAGCCTTCAAACCTATTGATAGATAAAGATACTCAAAAATTAGTAGTCTGTGATTTTGGAAGTGCGAAAACTCTTAAGGATCCAAATGAGACCTCTGTTGCCTACATATCTACAAGATATTATAGAGCTCCTGAGCTGCTTTTAGGAAATCAATAATATGGAGTTGAAATAGATATCTGGGCTGCAGGATGTGTCATGGCTGAGATGTTTAGAGGTGGGAGAGTAATGTTTGAGGGTGCAAACAATACTGATCAGCTGATAAAAATCATTTAATTATTTGGAACTCCTACTCCAGAGCAAATTAGTGAGATGAATCCATTATACCCCTCTAAAGATATGGTAAAAGTAAAACCTGGCGACATTAACGCTTATTTTTCAAGCAGTATCCCAAAAGAAGGCATTTAGCTTCTTTAACAATTGCTGATATATGAACCTAGTCTGAGGATGAGAGCAATTGATGTCTTAGCACATCCCTTCTTTGACGAGCTAAGAGATTTTTAAATGAGACTGCCTCAAGGTGGTAAACTACCAGATATATTTGACCTCACAACAGAGGAAATTCAATCTACAGATAGGAGTGTTCTTGATAAAATAATTCCAATTTGGCGGAGGAATTAAGGAATTTCTCGCAAGATTAGCAAGCATTCACTAAAAAAAGTTTGATGCTCTTTTATAAATGGATTTATTATTGATTCAGGACAAAATTATGTATATCATTAACCTGCTGTATCTTTTTGAAATATTTAAATTGCTGAAAATTTTCAACATTATAGGACTAATGGGGTTTTGGGGTTTTGGGGTTTTGGGG